GGGAGGGAGCGCCACCCAGAGTGCAGGTTGGAAACTATTCAGGGGGTTGAGAAATGGTAGCTGCAGTTGCTATTATCAGGTCAGAGTGGAGGCACGAATAATACCTTCAGAAGCTATCAAGCATTTATCACGTGCCACATGCCAGCCACCCTGTTGAGTACTTTACAGACATCATCTCACTGGGTCCTCGCAAAAGCTCCGTGATTCCAGAATCCCAAAGCCTGGAATCAGGCTGATGGAGGGGTCAGTGGGAGGCTCCCGCACCCAGGGACCTAGAGTATGAGCTGGTGTCCTGAGACCTTAGGTCCAGGCAGGGGAGAAGGCCAGCTCTAAGGGGACATGGGTTGGGTTGGGGTGGGCAGAGGAGGAGAGTCCCAGCAGGCCCATAACGGCACAGGCTTCCCTCCTGACTCTGGACCTTGGACTTTGGCTTCAGTGAGAGGGAATGAGGCTGGACTGGAAGTGTCCTCCTGGGTAAACAAGGCAAGGCCCCGCCAGAGAAAGCTCAACTTCCAGGGTAGCAAACTCAATCTCTCATGGTCATGTGATCACAGGCACGTGTGCATGCACACACACTCGCACACTTGCACACCTGTGCAGTGGGGTGGGAGGTGACAAAGACCACCTTGCCACAGCTTTTCCCTGAAAGCGGAGATAACTGAGCAGCCTCGTGTTCTACTCCTGCTTTGTAATTATTGAGCCATGGCCCCCATCTGACTGTCCTGGCAAGAGGAAATGGCCTTGGCGCGGAGTTAACCCAAAGCTGAATTATTTATCGCCTGCATTCCCCTGGCCATTTAAGTGATAAACAGCAACTGACCTTGCTAGTCTCTGCTGGACCTGAGGTGCTAGAGGAAATCTCAGAGAGTCCCAGGTCCCCACTTGTTCTCAAGCCTGGGGGAGGGACCAGCAGGAAGAAGAAACCTCTTCTGAGCACTTACACTGTGGTCGCTTGCATCTAGTCTCAGTGGACCCTTGTGGCTGCCTCAGGAGTGGGCATATTATTTTAGCAGAAGAGAAGTTCTGAGACCAAGAGAGAGTGACTTGTCTGGAGTGACAGGAAGTGGGGAGCTGAGATTTGAACCCAACTTTGCCTGGTCCCAGTTCAGGGCTCTGCTAGCCCACCTTCTTCCAGGCGGACTTGCAGGTCCCAGCCCAAAGGGACACAGATGCTTATTCAACAGATACCATTGAGCTTCTACTATCTGCTGGTCAGTGGGCAGGACTAGGCAGCACTTAGTTTTCCTTTTCAGTAAAAGGTGTGGTAATGGTGCATACTTAATGCGGGAATTGAAGAAGGTGCCTCCTTGGCGCTGAAATCCTCGTGGTAGCTAAAGAAAAAGAGAGAAAGTTTGTTCACTGCCTTTTCTGCATGTCTTCCTTCTATGGTGAAGATCATGCAGTGTTTTTAGTCCTACTTTTAATTTGACCTAATATTGCATCATGAACATTTCCCTGTGTCCTTGCAGATCCCTGTAAAAATTACTCACTTTTGTTTCATTTAAAAGTAGTACATTATTTTAAAAATTCAAGCAGTTGCAAAGGACATATGCAGTGAAGAGCCAGTCTCCCCTCCCCACTCTCCCATCCTCCCAGCTGCTGTCCCAGAGGCAGTCTCAGGTGCCAGTTATCGGAGTCGTCTCCTCGAGATGGCCTGCTTCTTTACCTAAATCCTAAAACATACACACCCTGGTGGCCTGCTGAGCCCGCTCTGCAGCCCGCTGTTTGCACGCTTCAGGGTGCCTTGACTCCCGTCCTGTGCCAGTACCCACAGAGCCGGCTTCTTTGCAACAACTTCCTGTATCATCCTAGGGATGGACCACCATTTATCTCATTGATCTCCTATTGATAGGCATTGAGGTTGCCTCCAGTCTTGCTGTTACATCAGCACTGTGGTAAATATTCCTGTGCAAATAACTTGTTGTCTGTGTGCAATTATGTCTGTTTTAGAATTACTGGGTGAACATGATATTTAGTGACTGTTTAATATTCCATTGTTATGGTCGGATAGGATAGTCATTTATGGTAGACAAGAATCTTCCCCCCAATTGAGGTTTGTTGGTACTCACCCAGACCTCATTCCTCGGGCCTCATGTTAGCCACATGCTGCACCTGAGTATTAAAATGTTCAGCCAAGACTAAAATCTTGGAGCAGGAAATTCCATCCATTTTCATAATTATTTAGCTATTGGGAAGTTTTGTATGTTTTTTAAAAATAAATTTTTTTAAAAATATGTTTTTGTTGATTTCAGAGAGAGGAAGGGAGAGGGAGAGAGAGAAACATCAATGATGAGAGTCATCAATCAGCTGCCTCCTACTGGGGATCGAGCCTGAAACCAGGGCATCTGCCCTGTCCTGGAATTGAACCATGACCTCTAGGTTCATGGGTCGATGCTCAGCCACTGAGCCACACCGGCTGGGCAGCTATTGGGAAGTTTTAAATAATTTTTGGTAAAGATGTTAATAACTTTCATAGACATCACTGATCATTGCTGCTTTACTTTATATGTGCATAATACTCACGTATTTGAAAGCATATATTCAGATATTATATCAGTTTGCTATTGTGTACCAACCAACCACAAAAACTCAAGGGCATACACTGATGCGTCTTTAACTCACATGTCTGGCCTCCTGAGAGTCAGCTGGTCTAGACTGGGCTCAGCTGGACAGCTCAGCTCTGTTTTGAGTGTCTCCTGTCCTCCTCTTGGGACCAGTGGGCTAAGCAGGCAAGTGGAAACATCCAATTGTCCCAAGGTCTCTTATGGCCTAGACCTAGCACTGCTCTTCTGTCAATTCTGCCTCATTCTATTGGCCAGAGCAAGTCATGTGACCGAGTCCAAATTCAAGGAGCGGGGAAATACACTCTGCCTCTTTAATGGGAGAAAGTATACGGTCACATGGTTAAGGGCATGGATGCGGGGAAAGGTAAAGAATCAGGGCCATGGATGAAGTCATCCTGAGATGGTAACAGTAATCTTACCATTACACGCTCTGTTGCTATTATTGACACTTTTCTTGCTGTTTAGCTATGAAGATTACCTATGTGACCTCATAGGAATGATTTTGCTCAGGGACAGGGCTGCCAGGAATGGCCTTGAAGTGGCCATTGGGCTATACCAAAATTACAGTGCACTTCTTGGCCATGTGCCAAGGCTGAAGGCAGACATAGGCCATGCTTAGATGTTTGGCAGTGGTGGAACTCAGGCCTTCTGACCCCTGTGCCCTGGCCAGGGCTGTGTCCATGGCATAGACCAGTCAGCTTACACCCCAGGCTTGCCCGCTCGATGGTGCAACGGGGGCTTTTTCTCATTGCAGGGGAACATGGGCCCAGCTGCCTTCTGGCTTCTGCTCTTCCTCCTCAAGAATCCCCAGGCCCTGGCTGCCGTCCGTGAAGAACTCGAGAACGTCCTGTGCCGAGCAGAGCAGCCTATCTCGCAGATGACCACCCTGCCACAGAAGGTTTTAGACAACATGCCTGTGCTCGGTGAGATGGCCAGACCCTTCAGACAGCCCCAAAGACTGGATCATCATGGTCCCTTAAGCAACCCCCTCAACATAGGCTCCAATTGTCCCAAGTCCATCGGTGTCCTCTGACCTAAGGTCCCCCTGAGCCTCCTATCTTCTTAGACTTGGCATCTCCATGCCACGGTCTCAGCTGCTCATAGTCTCCGTCGGAGGTTTTTTGTTGCAAATGGCAGAAACCCTAACTTAAACTGGCTGAAGCAAAAAAAGGACTTTATTTGGGGCAAGTAGCTAAAGGTCCAGAAGAATCTAGCTTTGGGTACAGGTGGATCCAGGTACTCTATAAGTGTCATCCGGGCTCAGTCTCTCCATCTCTCAGCCTCATTTTCTGCTGGGTTGGCTCCAGTCTCAGGCTGGCAAGATGGCCACTAGAAGCTCCAAGCTGACATGCTCCTCCCCTTGAGGGTGTGCCTGTCTGCAGCATTCCTACCCAAAGTGCCAGGAATGTGTCTCATTGGCTCTCTTTGGGTCATATGCCTATCTTAAATGAATCATGGGGAATTAGAGGGTTGGGATGCTCTGATTGCCCAATCCCAGGAGTTGGGAGTGGAATCAGCAGTCCAACCCCTGAGAGTGGGAGAGGGGAGATCCCCAGAGGAAAATCAGGGAACTGTTTCTAGAAGGGGAATATATGCTGAGCAGGCAGAAATAACCTATGTTGGTGGCCCTGCTCTCTCCCTACTTCTCTGATATCTCTCTGGCCCCCATCTCCCCTCACAGCTTCTCTTGGGATCAGACCCAAACCCGCATATCTAAAGTCTCTGAGGGACAGTAGCAATCACACCTCATGAACTGGCCTTTTCGGCCTCACTGTGTGCCAGTGGGCAAGTCGTGCTCCCTTTCTGAGCCTCCTTACCTTCCTCTGTAAAATGAGGGCTGGGGGTGGCATTTGAGTGGGTAAAAGGGCAGCTGCTGACCCTTTCTTGCACCTGCCCTATGCAGACAGCGTGCTGAGTGAGAGCCTCAGGCTCACGGCCGCGCCCTTCATCACCCGCGAGGTCGTGGTGGACCTGACCATGCCCATGGCAGACGGGCGGGAATTCACCCTGCGACGTGGTGACCGCCTCCTCCTCTTTCCATTCCTGAGTCCCCAGAAGGATCCAGAAATCTATACAGACCCAGAGGTAAATGGCATACCAGGGACCATGGGGAAAAATCAGTGGCTTGCAGATCAGCCATATCTGAGGGGCATCAGCTAGCTCTGCTTTTTTGCTGTGTGATCTTGTCCAGATGACTTCACCTTCCTGTGTCTCTGTTTCCTCACCTGTGAAATAAACCTCATAATAGCACCTGCCTCATAGGGTTGTCAGGAAGATTAAGTGAGATCATGTAAGAAAGGCCTTCGTAGGGCCTGGCACACAGTGAATGCTTTATATGTGATAGCTGAGTGACTTTCCTTCAGAATGTTACACTGTCAGCTTCTCAACACTTTTCCCTCTTCCTGGACTTTGAGATGGGAAAACTTGAACAATTTCTAACAGATTTGGGTGCTTGCTGTATGCCAGGCACTGTTCTGTATGTTCATCTATTCATCCATCAATTCATCCATCCATCTATCGTCCGTCCATCCATCCATCCATCCATCCATCCATCCATCCATCCATCCATCCATCCATCC